GGGAGCCTCCCTTCTCCAAAATTCCCAATATCAGACTTAGACACCATGGATACAATATCACAAATGTCCTCTAACAATGATAGGAAGCTCACAGTGGAACCAACTCATCAGTGGTCAAAAAATGAAGAAGGATCTGGAACAAATAGCAGCTGCACAGACAAAGAAAGATGCCTTTCTTTTCAAATAAATGGGAATCAGGAATCAAGGTATTGGACATCTATAGAGTTGGGGCTGATTCTCTATATAAATTCAGGGCCATATCCTTAACAGAAGGGTAGACCTGTGGATTAGACTGGTAAGACCGCTTTGATAAAAGGCCATGTACTGGGTAGCTGATAACAACAGAAACTTCTTGCCCAAAGTCCTACAAGTTGAACATCCAAGAAACTGATAGCAGCTTTGGGGGCTGTGAAGGGTCCCTTCCTTGGTTTATAGATGGCACCTTCTTGCTGTGTCCTCACATGGTGAAAAGGGCAAGAAATCTTTTTCCTTTAGAATAATCCCATTCATGAGGGGCCAAATAAACTCCCAAAGGCTCCAGCTCCTAACGCTATCACATTGTTAATTGTTTGAGTTTTTTGGTACTGGGAATTGAACTCAGGGTACTCGATCACTGAGCCACATCCCCAGCCCTATTTTATTTGGAGACAGGGTCTCACTGAGTTGCTCAGTACCTTGCTACGGCTGAGGATGACTTTGAACTCCCAAACCACTGGGATCACAGGCATGCTCCATGCGCCTCGCTGCTAATTAGTTTTCAATGCACGAACTTGGAGGATTCAGAACACACCAGCAAGGAACTTACTGGACTGCTAGAAAAGCTTCAGAATAAGGAAACTTAAACTTGTCTTTGCCTGAGCTTTGACAGGGATGGGGGGTGGGAAAAGAGAAGAAGAAATAGAGACCTCAATTCCTTGTGGTTAAAATTTACCCTGGAAGAGTTTTCATGGAAACCTCATACCTGGGCAGCTAAGTAGTCCAAGACTGCTACATCTCAGGACATTAGTAGAAACAGCTTGAAATTTGAGCTCGAAAGACACCCCCAACTATGCTTCCAAGTATTTCCACAGATGAAACCCGAAATATGAAAAGACAACCAAATATATGAAACAGGACCAAAGAGTCCATCATGAGTGAGGATAAAGAATATACTGAAAAATGCAGAATTTGACTACAAAAGAGACCACGAAACTAGAATTATTAAACACCATATTGCATTCCACCAAAGATATGCTGTCATTTATTAGAACATGTATCAATTTTAAAAGTTCTAAGAAAATAGTGGCAATTATATTATGATAATTTAAAACAACTTTTTACAATTCAGTGAACTACATAATCCAGCTCAACTTCTGATATTTAAGAGCTCTGCAGGAGGGGCTGCTGGGGAGGTGGGAATCTCTGAAGACCCATGTCCTGCTGTACACACTGCACACTGTCCCCTGCTCCTCTTTCCCCTTCCCTCCCTCTCGATGCTCATGGGGAACACAGTGGCTGAAGTGCAACAGACATGACCAGGACACGCAGGTGGAGGATGGAGGACGTCCTAGAGAGCCTCCCATGACTGCCTACCCCTGCACTGCACTGTGAGGAAGCACACACTGGCTTTCTTAAAGCTGCCATTTCAGAGCCTTTTTATATCAGGGTGGGCAGGTACTGGGGATTGAACTCAGGGACACCTGAGCACTGAGCCACATCCTCAGTCCTATTTGTATTTAATTTAGGGAAAGGGTCTCACTGAGATGCTTAGCGCCTTGCTTTTGCTGAGGCTAGGTTTGACATTCTTTTTGTTATCGAATACAGAAGAAAGAGAACTTGACTATGAAAAGAAATATGCTTGTCTGTAGAAAAGTCAAGTGAATCTATAGTCACATTTTTAGAAATGATTAAAGTGTTCAGCAACTAAATAAACGTAACTCCAATATAAATTTTGATGGAATTACCGATTCTAAAATTTATGATGAAAATTGAGAAGCCAGGAATAGCCATGAAAATTCTGAAGAAGAAGGCTGGAGCCTCATTCCCATTCCATACCTATTGTAAAGCCCCGGAACCAGGGCAGTGTGGCTTCAGAGCAGCAACATGTAAACCAAGGGAAGTCAGCAGAGGTCCAAGAAACACCCACACGTGTGAAAATCTTTGGAGAAAGGATGATAAATGATTCTAGGGAATTTACTATCAGAAAGACAAAAAAAAAGGATCCCTATCTCATATCATGCACAGAAATGAATTTCAGGTGAAACAAATTCCTAAAACTAAACCTTAAAAACTAAACTGAAAGTACCTTCACAACCATGGAGAAATAGAGATGGCTTCAGACATACATGTTACCAACATGAAGGACAAAGACTTAAAAATTTCTCTGTATTTAACTCTTATAACCTTTCTTCACATAAAAACAAATTGAAGTTTTTTAGAAATCAATAGCCCAGGCAAAAGAACGCAGCAATCCACATAAGTGGATTCACCATGGCTAACGACTACATAAAATTGCTGACCCGGGCCAGCTGGGATCACAAGGAAAAACTAGTTAGAGTCTTGACGGGCAGAAATGAGTCTGACAATACCAAGAACTGGTAAGGATGTGGGGCAGGGGAACCCTCGGGGGTGAGTGTCTCCTGGCACGCCCATTGGGCAGGGCAATGTGGTGCATCTAGTAGAGGTAACAGTGCAGCATCGAAGAGGCAGCTCTTTTATTCCCAAGTGTTTACCTCCCAAAGAAACTCCTGCACAAGACGCAAGTCAATGAACGTCCATAGCGTACTACCACGAACTAAAACGCTGTTAACTATAATCCGCTTTGATAACACTTGGAACATTTCTCTTCTGGGAGATGGGACATGGGTAGCTTTCATACTTTTTTCTTTTAAGTCAGAATGTAATGTGAGATATTACAAATTGGTAACAAATCAGATCATTTTTGGAACTTGTGGCATCCGATTTTGAAGTGTGTGGATGGGCAGAGACCAAGCGATGCTGCCACCTGAGGAGGACTCTGACCTGTTTCCCCAGGGCGAATTGCTTACCACTGACCCAAGGAGTGAGGCAGCTCCTGACTAAGCGCCTGCAGACTTTTCCCCCCCTCCAAGCCCAAGCCCACTCCATGGCTGTGACAGACAATCTAACATTGACCTCAGGGCTCTTTTCCCAGATAGAGGGAGCTGAGAGACTGGAGCTCTCTGAACAAATCTATTCACTCTTCTTCAGGTCAACATGATATCATTCACAATTATTTTTATTATCTTTCATGAGTTAAAAGAACCCTAAAATAAGAATTTTCCCATGGATAATTGATGAAACAAACTATTTGCACTCTATTTCTCGCACACTCCTTGAAGTTGCTTTTAATATATTTTCATAAACATGTAGATAAAAAAATAATTATTTCAAAAGTCAAAGCAATCTGTTACTACACGAACAAATAACAACATATTGCATTTACACAGGATTAAAAATTACCCCGTAGGAAGGTTAAGAGTCCTACCCTCATCCTGCCCAAGGCCCCCCTTTTAGACAAAGCTGGTTTACAGAATTGGGATGTTTGAAAGAGCACAGAAGAGTCCACCTCATCTTCTGGCCCTTTCCTGTCTCTGCAGGCCGAGGAAGCTGGGCGGCTGCCCCCCTCACTTCTGTAGCACCAGCCACGCAGGAAGAAGTTCCCCACTGTCAAGGTGGGGTCCTTGGAAATAATGGGAATTTTTAAGAGTAAAACTGTTGTTTTAGGCTGGAATGCTTTCAAAAAAGCTTCTAATGGAAGCTCATGTCAGTTTCCTTGGAGAGCTTCAAAGCCTGTCACCTGTCTCTGAGCACAAGAGGAGACCTGCTGGAGCCGGCCTTTCAAATTCTGATGAGCTCTCCAGATATGTTTTTCAAAACATCTCTGGCCTTTCCTAATTGTTTCAGCAGTAACTGATAAAAATATTTTTGTAAAGTCCTTTCTATCTTCCAAATATTTATTTTCTTGTAGAAATCTAAGAGTTTCCCAGACTTAAAAAGAATGACATGGTTCCATACTTTACACGTACAACCTTAGAGATACTGGTTAATCAGGGGACGCCTGCTTTGTCTTTCAGTCAGATCTCTTTGATTAAATTACTGTTGTTCTCAATGACTAGAATGGACTTGTTTCGCAATGCCTGGTGGTTTCCTTTGGAATCAGGATTTAGTTCATAAGCAGATCCCCCTCATTTTTTTTTTTGTTCCTTTAAAATCTGACACTTTTTATATAACTAAAAGCTAATACACTGGGTAATTGTTGGACAACATCTTAAAATTTAATAAGGACAGCTATCATAGATTGTGATATCTCAAAGATTTGACTCTGAAAAGAACTTGCTATTTTAGTTAGAGCAACTATTTCTAAAAAGCCAAGTAGGTTTCATGGGCATTAAACCATGAAGAAAGTTGGGCAAAAAGCCCTTAGAGATGACACCAAAAGAATGATCCATAATGAAACTTGGACTTCATCACATTAAATTAACAAATTTAGTTAATTAATCTTCAGAAATAAAAATATAAGCCAAGCACTCTTAGAAAATATTTGCAAGTCACACATCTGACAAAGGACTCAATTCTAAAATACACAAAGGATTTACAACTCAGTGCAAAGGAGAGTAACTTAATTAATAGCTGATCAAAAGACCTGGATAGGAGTTTCTCTAAGGAAAATAGACAAAAGTCACATAAGGACAAGGAAGGAAATTTAATGACATTAGTCATCAGGGAAATGCAAATCAAAACCCAGTAGGACACCACCTTCATAGCCACCAGGATGGTTATAATTAAACAAAGCAAAACTAAACAAACAAACAAAAAAAGATAATAACAATTGTGGATGAGGATGTAAAGAAACTGGAGAACTTGTATATTGCTGCTCACAAGGAAAACGGTGCAGACACTTTGCAAAATCATCAGGCAGCTCCTCTGTTAAACAGTGAAATACCTTATGACCCAGAGACCGTACTCCTGGACAGCAGAAAAGAAAAATCCCCTTTACTTACTGAGGTTCCACTTCAGGCCTGTGGTTGTCACATGATCGCACGGCTGTCCAACAGGAATGAGGCCGCACCAACTTCCTTCCATCCCAGTGTCCACGTGCAACCTGTGCTTTCCCTGCAGGAGAGGAGGGACAGCCATCAAGAAGAGAAGAGAAAGGAAAGAAGCTTAATGAGCACTGCAGTTGCCACCACAGGCACCCGACCCTCCCGTGGTTCGTCCTGCTTCATATTAACAACACGTGTCGGGTGGAAGCTGACTGACCCTAGAAACTTTCACCTGGATTAATCCTAACAAGAATTTTTTCAAGAGAGCTTGTTACATACATGAGGACCCCTGATGGGAACTGGAGGCATCAACTCTGAAAAGGAAGAGGAAGGGGTTTGCAGGCCAAGACCCCGGGGAGATGCCAGCGTTGTGTCAGATGTCCACTTAAGGTGACTGAGGTGGCAATGAATGGGTAGAAGACAGGGCAGTGTTGGGCCAGTGAGATCATCTGTGTGAAACCCTAATGGTGAACACTGACATAATTCATTGGTCAAGAGCCACAAAAGTACCGTGCCGCAGGGTGAACGTTAATGTCAACTATGGCTTTGGTTAATACTGACATATCAATCTGAGTCCATCCCTTGTAACAAATGAGCCATATTAAGCCAAGATAATGGGGGTGGGGAGGAAAACTGTGTCTCATCTGCTCAGTTTTCCGTAAACCTAAAAACTGAAGTCTACTAATTTAAAAAAATGTCTCACAATGACCATTTCTCACCCTTATACAGGACCAACAGCAATGAGGTCTGTACCTACAGGAGATACAGCACCACCCAAAAAGAACACGCAGCCACTTCTTGGCAGCCGGCACAACCTCTGCTGCCTTTTCCCTCTGGGGAACAGTTGTATTTCATGCCAGGCGTGAGACCTTACTGTTGGCCTGGAGGTCTCCTCTAAACTGATGTCGGCTGAACAGTTCACCACGTAAACTTGAGTTTTGTTTCTGCTTACCATTCTCCACCCTAGCAGTACTTCTCTCCGAAGATACAAATACTGAATGCTTTACAAGTGATCCTCCCTCCATGCCAACCGAAGCCTGCGTGAACCCATTCTCAGGAGTGATAAAGCTTCCTAACGCTAAAATGTCATAAGGGCAAGGGGGGCTCCTAGAAATTCTGGTTTCCTCAGAATTACTTTGGTTTCTGCAGTGAAGGAATAGGTGCCGGTGATGTTTGGGGGAAGGTGGATTCTGGTCCAGTTTCCTGATCAAAGGCTCTCGTCCTAGGGCCCCAAGAGAGAGCACTATGTTACCAGAGCGGTTCCAGGTAACCCAAGCTTCCTGGGCAGTGAGTGGCCAAATCACAGGGTTCCCTAGATCTAGAAGGAGGAATGGAGAAGTATGCATGGGCCCAGATCTCTGTGCCTCTGCTGGTGACATCATTTCTGACAATGAGACCTGCTGTCTTCCTTACCAGAGAGGGATTCCTATCTTCCTGGTTTGTCTCAGCTTTGGTGTATTACAGTTCATTCCTGTTTTTTAACTGATGATTGTCTTCCCCCTGTCTTGGATCTGCTTAATAGTGTGGACATGGTTAGAGGTGAAACACGGATATGTCTGGTTTGTTTGACAAAAGAAAGAAGGAATTATTTTTCATCTGGTGGATATTAATTCCCTAAGAGAAAGCTCTTCAGCTTACATCATACAATGCAAAGGAAACAACACATATACATGTTAAGTTTTATTTTCCCAGGGAAAGGAATGTCTGTTATAAAATCGTTGATTTAAATGGTGCAGTAGTAAGCTTTCTTATGTAGCTTTGCTCTGTGCTCACTGCTTTCTTTGTTATTTTAAGAATCAACGGACCTTAAAATTTTCAATTTTAAGGGACAAAACTAGTTTGTGGACTTGAGAATTCACAGATAGGTCTTAGCCTATAATCAATTAACTTTTTTTTTTCTCTTGTTCTCAAGAGGTGCTTTACCATCTGTGAATGGTCTTTATATTTAAAAATAAGCAAATTTCCCTTTTGTGGTTAGAAGACAGCAGTATCATGTTTTCCTCTTCTATCCTTATGTCTACATGACATTTTTAAAAAGTGAATAACTGTATAAAGGAATTCTGTTTATTCCTTGGATTCTCAATTCATAACAGGTCTAGCCTGTATGTGCCTTGACATAGGCAGGCGTACGGCTCACGTTACAGAACTTCCTCAGGATTTATGCCATCACTGAAGACCAGAGGCACATGAACTAATCATTGGCTTCCATCGACTCTCATGAATCATCGCACAGGTTCCTGTTCCATCCTCTGTTCTGAGCTAAGATAACTCTTTAAGTCAAAGGCAGGTCCAATGAGTAAAGAAGGAACAAAAATCAATCACAGCCACTTCGCTTTTCTAACTGTGATTATTTGAACATATCGAAAAACCTCCATAAGGTATGAAATTCTAATTTAGTAAAAGAAAACAAGACGTGTTCATATGGCACAGAGTCTGGAGACTGTGCTTACGATCATGCTCCTATATTCCAATTCCAAGCTAGAGCAACAATATATACAAGCGGGTACCTACGAAGGCCTAAGAAATCGCTGTCATTTTGTTTTGTGTTACACCTCCTCTTTGCAAACAACTATGACATAACTGAGAAAAAGGGTTAAAGCTCACCTACATTTTGCCTTTGAATAATCCCAAACATAGAGGCATATGAATTGATTATATCTGAGTCTTTAAATCCAATAACTATGCTAACATTCATGCCAAGAGTTCTTAGCATGGATCTCACAAAATACATAGCAAATTGATAAAATCATTCACAAGCTCCAAACACAGGGAGAACACAAGTGTACTTCCTACTTAGTGTGGACGATTCAAGGAGTGGGTGACAATGATAGTTCATAAAGTGGACAGTCATTCATAGAACTGTTTCTAATACTCAACTTATACCCTATTATCTGGATAATTGCAGCTAAAATTGCAGAAACACACAGTTGCACATGTGGAATGCTGCTGCAGAATTACTCAACACAAGGCTAACCTCGGGAAGTTCATCTCCTGTAAGTTTGCCCAGATGCTTTAAAAACATATCAACAAACACTGCAAGAAATTAAACAGCCTGCAGGACAAATAGTGAAAGAAGAAGATGGAAGATCTGCATTCATTTTACCAGAAGAGGTTCCTTCTTGCATACCAAGACAGGCTTGTGCTGGAATGTTTTCACGCTGGGATTGCTCACAGGATGAAAAGCAGTCACAAGAGAAATGGTGGCCCCAATGATCTTGTAGTTATTAAATCTCAGAGCTACAAGATTTGTACATTTTCTTTGATTCTGCTCCATAAATGAAGAATTCAAAATAGAAGCCTGGTGGTTTACCTGAAATACTAATACCTAAAATGTACTAACCAATGCTGCATGTGTTTATATGTAGCATATACACATACATGCTAAGTAGATGCTTGTAAGGAGTGTGTGTGTGTGTGTGTGTGTGTGTGTGTGTGTGTGTGTGTATGAGAAAGAGAGAGAGAGAATGATCTCAGTATTTTCTTTTGAAAATGCACTAATATCTTATCTTTAGATAGCTTTTTAGAGTTTCAGATCACGTTAGATAATTTTCCAAAGTGCTCTGCACAGAACACTACTCCCAAGGTCAGAGAAGATTGGAAAAACTGCTCCCTGGGTTGTCCTCTTGGAAGTCACAATGTCTGTCAGTGCATCTGTGCTCTAGGTAGTCTTGTAGAAAAAAACAAACAAACAAAAAACATTTTCCTGAACGAGTGTTTTGCAGCCTCCCTTGCTGCCGAGCTCCCTGCACCTCTCAAACAGGACCTCATACCTCTGCATGAGAACTGCTCTTCCCTCATGACACCACTTAGGGAAACACCGACTTGGAACAGTACTAATTCTGCAAAATGATGTTTTGTTTAATATTTTCACAGCCAGAACACTTCAATGATATGTCTTAAAATTAATGAATAACCTACCCTGGATTTTTATTTTGGAAATTGTTGAATACACTCATGCTGAAATCACGGATGCTCAGATACTAGTTTAGACGTGCTCCACTATTAAGCAATTAATGCTTAATCCTCATTCCAAAGAAAACCTTTTTTTTTTTTTTACAGACAGCTAAGTTAAAGTGAAAAATATTTGTGAAATAAACTGCTATTGTTAGATATTAAAATTAGATGTTAAAATATTATTATGACAGGCTGAAATTTTGATTAACCTCCTGACACTGTACTACTTCAAAATAAATTTGATGCAACCAATGTCCATCCTTTGCTTTGTATCACCTCTCTATTTATGCTTTCTTACAGTGTGCTCTGCCCTATCTTTCTGCTTTCCTTTATTCTAGACAGAGAAAATAATCTGCTGAGTGCTCTCACACTAAATTGTCAAAAACTTACACTTGACCCCTCCAAAAGATGCTGACTTTTAAAAGGATGACTTCTAAAGACAGTATTTGTCCCCAAAGTAAGCATTTTTAACAATAGGAACAAAACAAGATATATGTATTTTCAATCAGAATGATCTCAAGCGTTTTGAAATCACTTCAGATGAATGCTCTTCTCCTCAGCGTGGAATAGGATCAGGATGCCCACATCCTCCTATCTATTCCTACTCCACTGCTCCATCCTTAATCTGGAGAAACCCCAAAGCCCCAGGGCATGCCCTGCTTCTCCATGACCCTCTCATGTTCCCAGCACAGCACAGGTGATGTACTCCTAACCACTACAATGTTGAATCATTTGTGCCACAAAATGGACCATTTTGCTACTGTGTTGCATCTCTTAGACGGGTTCACATTGTATCTATTATAATAAGATTTCTTTGACAGCAAGGAGTCTTTTAAAAATTCTTTTTGGTTATACATGACAGTGGAAACCATTTTGGTATATTTCTAAAAGAATAAAATACATTTTACTCTAATTAGGGTCCCAGTCTTACAGAGGTATATGATGGTGAGATTCACTGTGGTGTGTTCATACATGAACATAGGAAAATTATGTCAGGTTCATTCCACCGCCTTTCCTATTCCTATCCACCTCCCTTACCTGCATTCCTTATTGCCCTTTGTTTAATCCACTGAACTTCTATTCTCCCTCATCCTTGTTGTGCGTTACCATCCACAT